GTCCATTTTCACTCACGCAGCCTTAGAACCTACCCTCACCACCGCTACGGAGATCTTTCAAATTCGTGCACATCTAAATGCCCAAAGCACACATTTTCCTGCAGCCTATTTTTTTAGAATGACATTTAAAAAACATAAAATCGGCTCTCACCTCGAGACGCGTCCACCCAGCCACACGACAGAACAGGGAAAGATGGCGCCCGGAAAACCTCGTCGACTAATCGTGTCACGAGCGCTACCTATTGGATAAGTTTGGCACAATTCGCCCTGATACAACTTGGACATGATACAACTCACCCCGCTCTCCCCTAAGACGGCAGCACCTGTCAGGCCAGGTCATGACGGCACCGGAAATTCCGATAAGCAAATAATGTAGCCACCAAAACCGTGAAGATGGGAATCTGATGGCCTACATGACTATATAACAAATTTATTACGGGTCAGAAAAGTGTATCAGAAAGTGTAAACAGAAACGGATATGTCCGGACAAAACTTTAATATAGTTGGTACTTGGCAACCTTGTTCGATTCCTGAGGTTCTGTTACTCGCGGCTCCCGGCCGCGGCGACCTGGAGTAAAAAAATGCCCCTCATTTTCGCTGCCGCAGGCTGACGCAGCTAAATTATACATTTTCTGAAAGGCAATTGATTGGTAAACACCATATTGATAAAAGAACAGCGGGACCTAGCGGGACTTTTTATATCGGCATTCCAGAATATCTATAACAGTAAAATTAACTAACAATTTTTAAAGCACCAAAAAAACTTAACATTTGAAGCGTATTTATATATTCAGCTATGAGTTTTTTCTTCCATCGTGTAGCCCATGGTCTAAACTATCAGGTTAAACGTCGAAAATATTGATAAAGCCGTCTAATAGATATATTTTTACCTACATTAGCTGCTATTTTTCTCCGTACGAAAACGGGTCGACGATGCTTGGCACAAAACTTTGTGTTTGGGCTGATGTGGCGCGGACGCTGTACACTATGGACGAAAAATATTTGCAGATTCGTGGTCCATGGACATTTCTGAACTACGTGACACAGTTTAACTCAATTTGGGAAAGGTCGCCAAATCCACCAATGTCGCGCTAATTCCGGCCGCGGTCCTATCGTGCACGGGTCAAAGGTCATTGGGGTCAGGGTCAATAATTTTAAAAATATGTGTAAAATTGATTAACTTGAGGGTACTGAAAGTTTCGTCGCGATCGGCCGCTTTTTGCGCGAATTATTCGCGAAAAACAGGGAGGGGTCCGTTCGACCCCGCTATAAGTGCGAGTGCTAAGTCACTAACGATCTGTCTTTAAAGTAAAAAAAAAAGTTATGCCTCGGGCTGAGAGGGCAAAGTTGTACAGTTGGGGTACTTAAGCACATCATGTAGGAAAGACCAGGGAGGTATGGGCCGGTTTTGTGAAAAGGCAATTTTCTTCCAGTGGGAAGTGGCTAGACCCGGTTTTTCACTCTGCATACGTGAAATTGCCCTTCGCCTGCAAAGTGTGCATGATATTAGGCATCTGGAGTCAACTATTTTGTCTTGAGATAACTTTCAATAAATCATGCGCTTTTTCGATCCATCAAAATACACCGGGAGGTACGGGCCATGGCCCGGGAGGTATGGGCCGGTGCCATGTTTCATATTCTTTTCTCGATAATGAGAACATACTCGTAGCTGGTATCTACCTTGATCTCTCTTAGAGCCCAGGAACCGCACAAGCGGCCAACAGCTTACTTCATGGGGGTCACGTGGGCACATATGTGTTTTGGTAAACTCAATCATGCTCCATGAAATAAGATAAATAATATTTTTATGTTCGAATGAAATTTGTAGTTAAATTTTCGACCTTACGCGACAATAAAACTAATTGAAAATGAAGAGGACATTCAATGAAGGCATCATTTTATTGAATTAGGATCAACGGGGGTGGGTGGCCCGAACCTCTCGGTTAGGACGCCAGAATGTGCGTAGCATCTCAGCTCATAATCTTGCAAGAAAGCTTCATATTGCCTATCCAGTCTTAATTTGCATGCTTTAAACTTAATATTACCGATGGTTTGACATCATAAAACGAGCCTGGTTCAAATTTAGGTATCACGAATTTTCTATAGGAATGTACCGTATCTTACTCGAAGAGGGCAAAAACACTATAGGTATATGGCCTTGGCAAGAACGCTTTATCACTGCTCATTGCATAAGAAGACTGAGGAAAAGTTTGGAAATCACGTGGGTTGTATAGCGGAATGGCTGCTACCAGTTTACGCGATCAAATGTGTAAAAATACGCAACACTTCTTCAAAACTGCGATGGCCCATACCTCCAGGGGGCCCATGCCTCCCGGTCCCGGGTATCCTCTAGGTATGTACTTACATGCATACCTACATTCTCGAATTAAACATCAATAATACCTACCTACTATACGCATATTGCTCTTTGGAACGTCGCTTTCGGTATGGGGACAGGGGATATCATGGGTCTGAGCCAGCTGACACGGGTGACACCCCTTCAGTGGGGTTCTGGCATGGTCTGCGTTGGATCACCCACCACCACAATGAGCGGTTCCTCAAAACCAGCGTAATTGACCGGTGTGAGGCGGCGACGTGAGGCACGCGAGTGCGGGACCGTCCCCACGCCGTGGCGGTTCGGGTCAGGGGAGCATCCCCCTCCCCGCGCGGCGGGCGGTCGCCCACTCATCCGCGACCCCAGCCCCGTGACTGAGGGGTTGACAGAGGGCAAACATCACGTATTTAAACTGGGCAAACAGACGGTGTTCTACGCTAGGGACATCTCGCGGCTGTGATTCACGATACTGCTTCGCCAAACTGCCTTTAGATGGTGGGTCAGTCGGTGTCCGTCTGCTGCTGTGCGCCGAGAATTGGCCCTATAAATTACGCTGAATTGCACATTCTAGTGTGACGATACCGTCACATTATCATATAGGTCGCGTTAAGATGCAAATGAAGAAACGACTGCGTTGAAAAATATGTCATTTCATCGAACGCTGAAATGCTCGAAGTGCTCGCTAAAAAATAAACTCGCTAACTGAGCCCTGAAGGTCGGCTGCCGTGTTGCATTGCATTTAAGCCAAAAACGCGGGCTGGGTGTAAGTTGTCGAGAAACAATTTTTGGCCTGGGGTGTTCTCTAAAGTATTATCTACATAGATCCAGGGAACATATTTGCTATCTATGATGGCTTAGGAGATATTGAATCTTAAGTCCTCCGGTGTACCCTGTTTTGCGGCGGCCCACGTGTTAAAAGCTGCTGAACATTTTTACTTTGACCAAAAAACGCGGGCACAGTTTTGTCTGTACGAAAATGAATCTTGTCCTATCACATTCCACGTGAACTGAAAATTCAGAAACCAGGGAACATATTTGCTACGACCAGTACTTCTCACGATTCAGACCGAAACGTGAAAAAATAGCCCCAAAACCCTATGGTGGGCGCCTCTCCGCGGCGCCCGGCCGCGGGTCGCTAGTTCCCCAAACGACACACCATGCTCAAGATATGGCGAGTTATGAACTGCTTATATAAATGTTGACATCGCTAGGGCGAGATCTATGTCAAAAGCTTTTAAATCTAAGTCCAACAGGTATCCATCGAACAAGCTGAGAAATGTGCACAGAACACATCGTTGATGACGCTGAAGTTAGATCACCTTTATTCTACATTCCCGACCTCTTATTAGCACTGGTCAAAAAGCCCTACCCAAAAGGCTAAATAGGACAGAAATCGGCCTCCTTTGGCCGCCCTGCAGACCTATATTACCCTCGCCGGACACTTATCGGTTTCTGTAGGTATGGCTCTGGGCCGAGGGTGGCCGAAACTATGCTGATTTTTTTTTTCTCGCGCCAGAATAATAGTTTCCATGTTTATCAATTGACTTAGAATGATGAAAGGTCAGCGACCGACCTGATGTCATGTGAATCTTAGAGAAAAGAATGACATATAAGCTATGAAGGCTCGGGAGGTTACTAACCAGTCATGTAAGTTTAATCTCCTGTGAAAAAATACCCTGGCAATGAAAGTCACTGACCTATGATGGTCACTGTCCAGTGACCACAGACTGGCATGGCCAGGTCACTGGCCTATGACTTCGAAAGACGTACTGATCTGAAACCCGCGGATTTATTTCAAATTTACACTATGCATCGATCTATGGGACGTGATGACCTGAGTCTAGTCAAACGACCGTAAAACTTTCCACGGGATCTTTTGAAAGTTGTTGGGACTTTACTGGCAACCAAGCGGACTCCACAATGGAGGTCGAATAACCGTCGTTTTTACGCTAAGGGCGAAAACCCCTTAAAGGGACTATCCCACCTTTAACATGGGGTTTGAGTTGAGATAGCCAAGTTTGCGGCGAGGTTCAGAAACCACTATCTATCTAGGTTGCAACCCCCGCGGCCTCTTGGTGTTGAAGAAATTCGTTCCCTTCATTTGAGAATGGGTCTTGCGCAAGGCCCTATCTTCAACATGGAGCGACCGTTAGTGTGACGTCACCTCGTTTAGTCATTCTGATTTAAATGGGTTTGTGCGTTGAAAAATCGCTTAAAACTTGGTCTGAACTTTGTTGTGGTGAATACAGAGTAAAAAGAATCAGCTTTATGGCAGTAATGTGGCCTGGGGAAGGAGGTAATTTTGGGCTGTGACGTCACATATTTGAAAGTTTGTGTTTGGAATATGGGAAGCCTAAGATGTTTAATGAAAAATAAATGCCAGAACCGTGTTCCTGGTCATCCAATCTATAAAGTCGGACACAATTTAACTGGTTTTAACAACATTTTAGAAGGTGGGATAGTTCCTTTAACGTATTTCCATCCCCCTTGCCGGGAAGCTTAGCATCGAAATAATTTGGTATTGGTACAGCCAAAAGGTAGCAAATAAGGTCTGTTATCCTAAACATTTTGTAAATAGTAGAAATGCCCATAGCTGCATGTCGAGGTAGGTATTTTATGTTGGCCAAAAATATAACTAAGTGTTTGTCATTTGAGCGTCACTCACCGTTGGATATGAGGGCGGCCAGAAGCGCGGCTCCGAGGAGGCGGCCTGGGCCCGCCATGGTCAGCGTGTTCCGGCTGCGACCGGTCGCCGCCGGCCCGCCGCCTCTCACAAATCTGTCCTGGTGGCCGCTAAAGTCGCCGCAATACAGAAGGGTAGATGGTGTGCTACTATCTTCCGATCAGGTTCAGGATCGCTGTAAGAAGTTTCAGGTTCGTTCTGGGAAGCTCTAGGTCCGTTGCGAGAAGCTAGCAGCGTCTCCTCGCCTTCCCACTGCACCGCTGATGGTGTGAGTTCGCCTCAACCCTCGTCCTCAGCCCCTGTCTGGTCACGGGCCCTCCTGTAGTGTCACGTGACCTCAGAGGGCGTCATCGGGCAACCAACCGCTCACAGCCGCCGAGGTGCACACGCTACTTCTCCAGTAGTGCTGTTGGGACCTCAGATCAGCGGCGGCGGCTTAGGTGACCTCTGAAGACCTCGCACGTGTCTGGGGTAACCTCTGCGGGGTATGAGCCGAGCGCCGATTCTCTCGCGCGGCCCCAGTAGACTCCGGTAACTCGGCTTCCTCGGTGATCTTGGAAGGCTTGCGGTGATCTCGGTGACTTTGGTGACCTCGGCTGACCTCAGTTGAGGGCGTCTGACTTTGACCTTAGCTCGGGTACGCTGCTGGTCGACGGCGGGTCAGACGTGGGTCAGCGTCCACTGTCTACTGTGGCCTCCGGCGGTCCGTGACTGACCCATCTATCAGAAGTGGCCGCGGGGGGGACATGCAACGTGCCGCGGCCGCAATCAGTGTCTCCCGAGAAGCTGTCTATCGGCGCTTAGTCGCGCTCAGAACTTAGCGAGCACGCCTTATCTGGCGACCAGCCGCTGTGTCGAGTCCTGAACAAACAACACAAAACAAACGTCTGCCCGGCAGTGACTATCGGCCGGGAATAATACCGGATTTGACGAATGGGAGTGGACATTATCGCCTACTACACGTCAGACATGCGATAATGGAATCCGAAGTGAAACAATGACACATTTAAATGAGGGACAATGAGCATATCAGACACACCATACATATAAGCCTTTAACCTCACTCCAGTGTGGTCTAAAGACTATCAGGTAGATAGTGTCAAGCGGTTTAAACATATCTTCCCACCGTGAAAAGTACACACTCACGCCCCACGGAGGCATTTGATGTTAAGTCCAGCGCACTTATCAAAATGGTACGAAGATGAATAGAGCCCTTCATGCCAAAAATAAACCTCAAGGGTTATGAAATATCGTGTGATAGTGATAGATACATAGTTCTCTCAATATCTCTCCATCGTACCTATCATGGGTTCAGCCCTCAGCAGACTGCGTGGTAGGTATTCTTTTTTCGACAAAACCGGTAATAACTCAAAGACTATGTGATCTGTCTGTCGGAATTCATTGCAAATAGAGGCACCATGCTCCACTCCTTCGATTGGGTCTATCACTAAACAAAGTACATATATGCTTTGTGTGGCAACAAAATGCAACAGTTTGTTTTGGGGGTAAATATAAACTTTTGGGTTTTGTTGCAAAACTGGATGGAAAATGAATACGATGGTAATGACCATCTAAGGTGCGGAGTCTCGCGCGTCTTGCTGTTACGATTTCCGAGTGACCGATAGCATAGTATCCGCGATATTCTCGGTTTTGTCGAAAAAAGAATACCTACCACGCAGTTTGCAGAGGGCTGTACATACATATAAGTACACACGTATCGCTGTGCTTACATTCTGGTAGACTCAACGAGCAATGGCACGCTGACGATAACACATATGTAATCATTGATGATTGCCTGTATTTTTAAAACTACGGTAACTTTCCTTATCATACGGCTGTTACGTTTTGGAACGAATGTAAAGCGTGAATTCATGGCAAACATTGCTTAACTCGCGCATGAATGGGGGGGGGGGGCTCTACAGAGCCCCTCTCCCGTTTTTCGGCAATATCTTCCAAACCGTTTGACGTATCGACACGAAACGTGCGGTATCTTCAGCGGCATCAATTTGACACCTTCAACTTTCTAGCTACCATAGGTCGGCCGAAAATGACGTCAAAGTGACGTCATGTCGGCCGTTTTTTAGGCAAAACATTGAACTACGGCAATCGCTCTCAAGAGCTCAGTTTTTATGCTAGATCTAGGTTATTTCTTTGCTCGAGTGGACGTACAATAAACGTGGTTATCACACTGCTCATTTAGAATTTCATAATGTTGAAAATTTTGAAAACTATACGTATACCTACAATTACCAAAAATATAATTTTTGTTTTTTTTTTCAACAAGTTTTGACATTTCGAAAAAAACGGAATGTAATGAACACCCGTCGATGACCTACTATAGAAAGTTTTAGTCCGATATCTTCAAAAATGGCCTTACGCCTTATAGAAAAAAATTTCACAATCATAGATTTAAAAATCCATTTTAGTGCGTTTTTTATATCTTACAACAATATAAATAGCACCATCGTGTTTCTCAGCTAAACTGCATTTGATAGGTAGGGGAAGATGGGGGAACACCGCCGTTTGGGGAACACCGCCCACCCCGATATCAGGAATATGAAGAGGTCTAGGGCGACAGCTGACTGTCTTTTGGCAGCGTGACGTCAACAGAAGTGCACGTATGGGCAATGCACCGCACTGGTTTAGGTGATTTGCGAGAAATTACTATTTTTTCCTTTCGTGAATACGTTTTATAATTTTTCTAGCATAATAACAAGAAGAAAACTTATCTTATTTGACAGAAATTAGTCCTGAAGTAGTATTTTTTGCCATAATTAGGACTCATCCAAGCATTACGTGCTCCTGCTGGAGCGATTTTTTTTGTCGTGCTGCCATTTTGAAGGATTTTTAGAAAAATGCAGACACTTTGGTAACACCGCCCACTTGGGCAATTTGGTACTTATACTAAACCACCTGGGAATGTACCTACGATGAGAAGAACAACTCAATAGTCCAGCAACCTGCAAATTTCGTTGCCTGCTGAGCTCGGGCGCGGTCGGTGTTACCCCGAAAAATGTAGACATTTACTAAATGTGGAATAATGCAATTATGAACGACACTACCAGAAAACAATTGGTTGATACGCAATACGCATGTAAAATTGATGCGACAATCCAATGAAACTGAGAGATTGATCATTTGGCCAAAAATTATGTGACTAGACTCTAAAAGGTTAAAGGGGTCGGTGTTCCCCCATCTTCCCCTATACCTTTTTTGTTGAAAAATTTCATTATCAAAATTTGATCTTTTTTACCTGAAAGTGACCTGACCTAAGGTAAATTCAGCTGAAAATGACCTCAAATGACACAGACGACATTGTCTTCGTTATCTATGAGTGGAATGGACCATAAAACATGCGTCACGTGACCGATACAAAATATGAAATTTCCGAGACCCAGGATGACCTGGCCTTGACCTGAAAAATTCGAGGTACATTTTTGGTACCCTCAAGGTATCTAAGGCATATATCAAGGAGTGCGCAAACTAAAAATGATCCTGATCGGACTTGTTAGCCGGCGGCCAGAGCCTAAATTGTAAACAAGCCAAAATGTCGATAATTTTTACTTTGATCTGATCTTTGATGTCATCGGTGGCCTCGAGGTCAATGAAATTAGGTCACTTGCAACAGTTTTTCCTGGGCTATCAGACGCCTTTTAAATTTTGGCGATCGGCCGAGTAGTTTCGGAGATAGCAGGGAGGAGCTCTGGAGAGCCCCCCCCCCCCCTGTCACTCGCGTTATGGAAAATACCCCAGTCATGCGCGGGTTAATAACAAATTATACATTTAGAAGAGGATGAATCCAGTTCTACGCGGTCTCAGCAGGATAAGCACTATTCCCGACGATGTTTTTGCTTTTATCCCGAAATACAGAAAATTACAGTAAGAATGTCATGGCCACGCCACCTGCGTTTGAAACACATGCGCCACGAAACTGGTCACTGGTCACTGCACTGCCCGGAGTTGCTGGCCCCAGGTTCTAACTTTAACCGATACCTGTACACAGCGAAGGCTAAGCGGAACGGTTTTCGGGGCCTCCAGTGTGGTCGGCGGTGATCATCTTGTCTCATGTCCTATATCCCTCGCCCACACATGGGGGGGGGGGTTGCCACCCCCCCCCCTCAGGTGGTTTTTCTGCTCTGCACTCAACATTTTTGAAGCTAGAAGCCTGATTTTTCGTATAGCTGCTCCTCTATCCTTTCTTGATGTTTACTGAAAATTTCAAGTTTCTGTGATGTTTGGTTTCGGAGATATGACCTTGTTTTTCAGGTCATGTCATGACCCAAATGACCAATTCTCAACATCTTGCGTTGGCTATGGGCCTTGTGAGCTTTTGACACCTTGATTTCGGCCTTTTTTGCCAGTCTTACCTCCCACCTATCATGGAACATGTTGTTCGACGATGTACAGATGTCAAGGTCAAGGTCAAGGTCAACCTAGTACATCTAAAATAATTGCGTTTAAGGCAAGCTGAATTTACTTTTCGTGATTTTTTTTTTTTTACTGCATTTTTGGTAAAAGCTTCTCAGATCATGATTTCATGTAATATGGACACATAAACATTAAACAATCGATGCACACATCAGTATACACACAAACACACACAGACATACAAACACATATCATTGACCTTGACCTAACTTGACCTGAAATGACCTCAACAGCAAAAATATGGTCGGGTAGTGTGACAAAGAGGTTCTAGCTGGCTTGGCACCAGAAAACGGCATTGTCATCGGTATATGATTAGCAGCGCACTTGATATCCAACGGTGACCCAAAACAGCAACATTTTTAGTTTGACCTGACCTGGAAGGTCAATGACTGACCTGAGAAGGTAAAACTGGGTATCATTGGATTCGTCTCTTCCCAAAGAATCTTTTTGGTCTTTACCGCGAAGCTCTATCTCCAACAGGAACGAAATGGCGCTGGGGGTGGCACCCCCCCCCCCCCCATGTGCGTTCTAGGATGGGAAAATGGCATGTGCGGGCGAGGGATATGATATAATACATATATCCCTACGAGGCCGCGGCAGCATGGAGTACTTGGTGAACTGGGGACGACAGCGGAGCGACCCTGAGCTTTTGAACTTTACCCTGACCCACATGTCGGCCCCGCTGCACTGGGAGACAGGCCACCAGCCAGTGACGTCAGCTCGACCAGCGACTCAAGTGGACACGCGGCGGCGCGAGGCGGCGGGCTCCCGGGACATCGGCGGCGAGCACAGGTCCCCGAGTGATCGTCCTGTCACCTAGCGGGCCGACGATGGCGCCGCCTGTACCGGTTGCGGCGGCGCGGGCGCGCGGCGGGCGCCGTAGCCGGTGAGCGCCCTGACCTGCTCGCCGGGCAGTCGGTGCACGTTGCGCAGGTGCAGCCGCAGGTTGTAGACGGTGCTGGCGGCGGTGCCGCACACGGGACACACGGTGCGGCCGTCGTGGCGCTGACGGTGGTCGTGCAGCGACGTTCGGTGTTTGTACCGCCGGCCGCACACGTCGCACTGGTGAGGCGCCTCTGGGGAGGGGGAGGAGGGGAGGGTTACACGGCGGAGGGAGCCGACTTCCCAGAGTCGGCGACTCAGGGGAGGGGAGGAGAGGGAATGGAGGGGAGGAGTCACACGGCTGAAGAGCCGCCCGCACAGAGCACTAATTTGATGCCTCTGATGAAGAAGGTACCTATCGAAAGAAAGCAAATACGGATGAGAAGATACTATCGAATAATCCTACGGATAGTCGCTATGAAAACTACGGGCTCATGTTGAGTGAAAGAGGATCTTGTACCCCGTACAATGATAACCTCTCCCTTCCTCCAGATGCGTCAAATTCAGTAGCCAGCCCCGTGTTTGTTGCGAAATGACAACTCGCCTTAACTATGCGTTTTCTGTGTGCGTTTTTTGCGTGTTTGCGGGTTTTGCGTAATATCGTTCTAGAAAAAAGGTTATTATTAATCAAAGTTCTTTAATATTCACATAAAAGGTAATAAAACGTTTTATGTTAATTAAAAGTTTATATGAAAAACATATAACCAAAGCGTAATGTCGTTTCTTTCTAAAACGATATTCCGCAAATCACGCAAACTCGCAAAAAAAACGCACGCAGAAAACGCATAGTGTAGTCAGGCCTTTAGAGTCTGAAAATTGAGTCATGCGTATTCTCGCAGAGTTCGTGAATATTTCGTTCATTTTTTAGAAACATCTAATTTTATAATAGTTCAAGTTTTGAAACCTTTTCGAGTTTCAGTTCAGGAAAGTTTGAAGAGATTATGATCCAAAGCAGGTGCAATGCCTTCAATTTACGCTTATTGCATGATAAAGCGTTACGTAATTGCGTCAGTCACCAGTCCCACTCATGTGCAGAGCGAAGAACGCATCCCGCACACATACGTACTTCGACTGAACGGATCGTGCACCAAACACTCAACCAAAGTTCAATGTTTTATAAAAACGGATACTCCAAGGCATACAGTTGGACCAAAACAGGTCAAACGGCACACACAGTTCAGTAATGACGGCCGATCCAGAGACGCGGTCGTAGCCCCTGATCGAGAGGTGAGTGTCGGCCGTTTGAAGACACTATGTATCGCAATTACCACCGTCTGATCGCTACTGGCCATTGCAACCAACGGGTGTCCTTGCAGCGTCACTGGAAATACATGCAGTGGGTGCAATCACCTGCACCATTCTGAGTTGTACTACAATGTACAGCAAAGCTTATGTGATCGTGTGATACACAAAGAAGTAAAACACCGTCGGTAAAACAAACAAATTGACAAATTGTGTCTTTGTTTTCGGCCGGTAAAACAAAGACACAATTTGTCACAAATAAAGTACGATGACAAAATGTTGAAAGTATTAAAATCATACACACTTAAAGTAAATAGCTTAAAGACTTTAGCTACCTGAGAAAGCGCAACGGAACAATACGAAACAGTCTCACAACACAAATGGGTTTTCTACTTCAATGGCACTAGTTAGCTAGCAGAATAACGAGTATTAAAAAGCACCTGATCTCTCACAAAGAAGAAACACAGACTGAGACATAAACTGCGCGCACCAGCCGAATCAAGGCCACTTCCATGAGGTCATGCCAGTTCACATAACTATGAGTTTACGCCTCGCTCCGTTCCGAGCGGCGTCACAGAGCGGGCTCGGCTCACTGCACGAACCCCACCCCGCCGCCGAGTGGCGCCGGCCCGCGGAGGCCGGCGGCAGCGGAGGGCGGTCTGCCGGCGGAGGGCGGTCCCGCAGCAGCGGAGGGCTGTCTGGCGGCGGCCGGCGGCCCGGCCTCGCCCTGCCGCGGCGGGATGATGCTGTAGATCTGCTCCCGGCTCAGTCCGTGCACAGAGCGCAGGTGGGTGCGCAGGTTGGGCACGTTGCTGCTGGCGCGCCGGCACAGCGGACACACCGTCAGGCCCGTGTGCTTGTGCTTGTGGTCGCCGAGCGCGGTGGCACTGCGGTAGCTGCGGCCGCACACGTCACAACTGTAGCGGCGGTCGTCCTCTGCCGGCAGACGCACAGTCAGGCGAGCGGCCCGGCCTAGCCTCCGAACCCGGCCCAGCCAGCCTTCCTGCAGCTAGCACTTGCCGCTCCGTTCAAATGATGAGGTATCAATACATTATGCCGGCAACCGCAACAAGAAAACAAACAAGAGTGGGGACGTACATAATTCACCGGTTTGCAAGCACATGCCGAATAAAACGAATATGGTACAGAGGAATCTCAAAGTGATCAATACAAAACCATTGCAACGACCATGGTGTTTCGTCCCAGTCATAAGCGGCGGAACTGGGGGCACCGGGGCACCCCCTTGATTTTGCTAATTTAACATTAGTCCTATGAGCGTTGCATGAAAAGAATGGGACCAAAACTCGGCAGTGCCCCCCCCCCCCCCCCCAATTCCGCCCTATGGGCGTTGAAGGTGTTCCGCCGCTACTGGTCACACAGTTCTCGCGGCCTTGGTGGGCCGAGATGCCGTGCGGCACAGCATCTCTGCAGGCGTCGACTGGTGCTGCCATCTATGGGGAATGAGCGCAAATAAAGCCTTGCAATTGATGGCTAGATGGTAGCGTTGAGGAAGAGTGGCCGGGCGAGGCAGCGGTTTGTAGTTTGTGCTATTTTGGGGCGTAAGGTCCCTTGTTTGATCATTCCATGACCATCGTCTGCCGGCTGGCCACTGCACCCACCGACACACAGCGACTGACGGTAATGTGTATTCGCCTCGAGACAGCGAAGTGGGTGACATCTGGTGGCAGGAATTTGCATAGGAGGAAGAGTGATGCCGAGCGGCGACGCGCACGCAGTTACACGGCGGGAGTACGGTGGAGGGGAGGAGTGTGGGAACTTAAGGTTGTAAGGGGTTGATTACGAAGTTTACATAGCAGATATGATATGGTCTATAATGCCTCAAAGTGTCAGACTCTTCGAATAGGTACCTGCCAAGCAAATGATGCCCGATAGTAGGCCTATCTTCACGCTTGGTGGTACGGGGACCCGCAGTTGCTACTGTACTTACACGAACCCCAACTCTAGCCGTCTGTCCTGTCCAGTAACAACCGATAACATTGATATCGACTGCCGGTCCCTGTACAAGAGCAGCTGAGGTTTTCTGTGCGTGCACTGTGACAGCTTATTTTTGTTCCCTGTGAGTGTGCTGGGAGTTGGGACAATTTACTCAGGGTCGCTGTACAGTAGCAACTGCGGGTCCCCGTACTAAGCTGGAGAACTCCAACGAACAAAGAGACCTAGGTGTTATTGTTGACTCCTCTCTGGATTTCAACACACGTATCAACCTTCGCCCGTTAGGGTGTTAAGGGGTCCGTTCGACCTCCCCCGTAGGGCAGAGGGGTCGAACGGACCCCCCTCAGTTTTCCGCGAAATACTCGCGCAAAAAGCGGTCGATCGCGACGAAACTTTCAGTGCCCTCGGTTTAGTCAATTTAACACCTACTCTGAAAAATTCATGACCCTGACCCAAATGACCATTGACCTGTGACCTACTTTTCGAGACCATGTTTGGCCGGAATCGCGATTCGGCGTATGTCAGCTCGCATTAGCCGCGCGTTTGCAGTCTTTTCGTGGTTTCAAGTGTTCAGACATGTGATATGATGTTGGTCCCATGCATTAGGGTGGGTGTCAAGGTCACCTGAAGGTCAGGTCAGGTCACTGAGCTTTGATGATCTCGGTTCACTTTCAAGTTTTGCATGTTTCTAGGCTAGTTTTTGGAGCTGAATTCGAATTCAGTAACCATATGAACTTTTACGAAGTAGTTTTGGTGGCTTCGTAGCATGTAACGAAGATGTCAGAGGCTGTTGACACCTACTACAAATACTCGGCAGGACTTCTACTGGTTGTCCTGACCTGACCTGACCCGACCTGGCCTAAATGCATGAAGGCATCATCTGTAATCAAAACTAATATGATATTCGTGATCAGCACCCCGAAAAACCCCATTGTAGCCCCATTGAGTAGTAAAGGAATCTTGATAGCAGCTACCCCTTACAACGTTCTAACGGATCCCAATTTTCCCGACTTTTGGGTCATTGACCTGACCTTGAAGGTCAACCGATGACCTAGGACCTTAAAGTAGGGTATCATCGGCTTCCTCTCGTCACGGGCAACACGCTCTTTTTCCGCGAAGCTCTAGCTCGATCAGGGGCGAAACGGCAAAGGGGGGGGGGGGTCAAACGGACCCCCTTATAATACGTTCGCGGCTGGAAAAACACCAATACGGACGAGGGTTAAGCTATGCACTCAACGACCATATGCCAGCTGGGGCATGGTAACTGGTAAGGAGAACATTTGAAAAGCGAGTCCGGCATTGTTTAGCCTAGCATACAAACACTTGTTCGCCCTCACAATTCATGTTGAATTTTGCCCCCAAGTATGGTCCTCTAATAAAAAATCTAATAGGTATCAAGAAGATTGAAGCAGTTCACAGAGCAGCTACCAGAAGAATTGTGGAAATGCAAGAGTTAAAGTATCCAGAACGGCAGAGTCGGCTTAATAAGCTTACCACCCTAGGAGAGAGAAGACACGGGGAGACGAGACTCACAAAATCCTTCATCAGCTCCATGAGTGTGACCTCAACCAACCGTACAAAACTGAACATAGTGAGATTAACTCAAATTGTACAAGCCCCACCACTAGACGTTGACAAGGAAAGTTTTTTCTCACGAATAGACCCTAAATAAATGGAATTCGTTAAGCCACCACATCAAGAAGGCAGAAACATCCAAATTCTGATCTATATAAACCAAGATATGAGAAACATCAAGCAGACCGACAAGATTGGCCCAAGTGAAACCAGACTGATGCAAAAAAAAACATGTAATTTAAAAAAGATGTGGGCTACAACATAGACCTCGCCGTCTTCTACTAGGTGCGTTCAATAAGTAAGTTCCGGAGAGCAATTACATAAAATTCACGCGGTCTACGCACGTGATTTTTTCAGGGATTAGAATTCAGACCTTTATGTCGAAGTGACCGCATTTTCAGCTTCTTATTCCATTTCTGTGACGATATGGAGCAGATCAAATAACACCATTTTTTTAGACTGCTTTAGAAATGGCATCGGCCACCGAGAGGATCAACGTTCAGTGAAACGATTCCTAGCTATCCAGGGCTAGCCGGCGGCTAACATCCACGCCAGCTTCGTGAATGTGTACGGGAGCCATGCTCTTAGTGATTCCGCAGTTCAGAAGCGAAAGAAAAAGTTTGGGGAGGGGAGGGAGAGCGTGCGCGACCTGGCACATGCAGGCAGGCTGAGGACGATGGTCACAGCCACTGACGTCGCCAAAGTGGAGGAGATGGTGATGGCCGACAGAAAGATTACTGTCCAGGCGATAACAGAAAGCCTAAACATAAGCCTACGCCAGGATCATTAGAGACCATCTCCTGCCAGGCTGCCAGTAATCGCCAGTTGCCGCCCCGAGAAGGCCCGTGGTCGGTTCATCCCCCACCAGGATTGCGCGCCTCCTCACCGTGCCCTCGTGGCGAGGGATGCCCTGCAGGCAGAGGGCATCGAGGTGCTCTAACACCATCCCTACTCTCCAGACGTTGCACGCATGGTGACTATTGGCTGTTCGCAAACATGAAGAAAAATCTCCGGGGCCGGAGGTTCGGCTCACGCCTCACGGTCTGCACTCGGGTTTGCTTTTTACCAGTATGGCGAAAAGACCCTCACTCAAAGCTTCCGTGCGGCCATCCGGGACCTGGCCAAGCGATGGGACCGATGCGTTCGCCTGCAGGGCGAGTTCATCGAGCCGTGAGCCATGTTTGGTTGAGATGTGCCAAAAAATAAACGAGTTATATCAAAACGGAACTTACTTATTGAACATACTGGTAGAATCCAAAAAAAAAAACCTTGACTCTTGATTGCTTCTTGTCCTCGCTTTGTGTTGATGTGATCGGTGGCTATTCTGCCTTACAAAAGCGCGAATATCAATACTTTTAAAATAATGATCAAAATCCTGTAAAGTCCCACTCAAACCTCCTTAACCACCCTAAAAAACTAATGTTCCTATCTTGCGCGCCGCACTCAAACCGTATACAAGCCTGAATGTCTCATGCGCGCCGGGTTCGCTATCCCTCTTACTACACTAGCGCCACCCTCGCGCAGCGGCGAGTCTCGAGGCGAATTCAGAGAGATCACTGCGCGGCACTGCGACCCGACGACACAGCTCCAGCGGGCCGCAGGAGTCGAGCACACAACCCGTGTGTACCGGCACAGAGGCGGGGTGTGATGTGACACTCACAACTATGTATACGAACAGACAGGTATGAGCAAGGCCTACGCACGCCGGGCAATTTTAGCTCACGAGTCACGACAAACCTACAGACCGTGAAAACGTTACGGCCGCTAAAACCTTGATAGCTCAGGCAAGTTAAATGATGGACATGTAGGCAGGCAGTGCAGATAATACTTGCTTCATATATGCATGACCAAAGCGTTATAAAACGCTTCAATTGCATACAAACAGTTACACTGTTAGCCATTCAAAAGCAAAATATGATTATGAAATGAAAACAGCGCATTGCAAGACAAGGAAATGGAGTCACCATCGAAAGAGAAATACAGCAATATACAGGGTGATCCAAAAAAAAATGGAACCCCTAACTTAAAATGTCTGTAAGTCAGGAAATTTTCACTTGATCAGTGGCGCAGCCAGGGGGGGGTCAGAGGGTCAGCTGACCCCCCCGAAATTTCTGTCGGGGGCCCGCTCGAGAAAGAGAGAGAGAGAGAGAGAGAGAGAGAGAGAGAGAGGAGAGAGAGAGAGAGAGGGAGGGAGGAAGGGAGAGAGAGAGAGAGAGAGAGAGAGAGAGAGAGAGAGAGAGAGAGAGAGAGAGAGGGAAAGAGAGAGGAGAGAGGTCGTAATCTAATTGGACGAGCCCGCTTCGAGAAATGCCTACTGGGACACCACGGGTGAGGGGTCGGCCCGGGGCTCCAGGTGGATGGGGCCCGGGCCCCCGGGAGAACGGGCCCGGGCCCCCGATGGATGGGTC